CAAATGCATGTGTGAGGGGCATCGAAAGATCGTTCTTCCGCTACGCGTCGGCTGAAGCCATCGAGCTTATCACCGTCGATTCCCCACGCAAGAGGACACTGCCCAAGAAGAATGAAACAATCGCCGAGATCGTGACGAGCATGTCTGCAGACCTCGTGATTGATTTCACGGTCATCGTTGATGGCGACGTCTACCCTGTGGAGGTTGGCCGGACCGAAGAAACGCAGGCCGCTGACAACGTCACGGACGAAGCAGGAGTTTCCGTTGCACCGCCAATGCCGACTCAAGAGATGGACATGGATGCACAACCTGAAGAAGAACAGGGTGCCGAAGAACCTGATCTACGCCAAATGCTTCGTGAAGGACTTGTGGCGCAGCTCCGCGACTATGTGGAAGTGCTTTCCCAAGGCGAATCAACCGTGGGAATCAACGACTTCACATTCTGCGTTGCCTGTGGCAGTGATTCACACCACTAGTCCGATTGCACTGAAAATGCTGCTACACGAGATTTGGTCCAGCGTGGTCTTCAGATCATCAGGGACAGTCTTCTTCGTTATCCACGTCGACCACCTGCGCAGCAAGCTGAGCCCATGGACGTTGACTCCACAGATCACGTGAGCGTAGCATCATCAGACCGATGACCCAAGGCCAAAGCCCGACCACGACGTGGAGGCGAGGCAGTTCGGAGTGACATCGTCCTGATCCGCTACGAGAACCCTCACAAGCTATGTGCCGACGCGGAGAACCGTCGAGGTCTACATGACGCTTGTGGCGTACCGCTGCAGGAGATGGGCCCCGAAAACAGCCAGTGGGTGGTGGATCTCATTGAACAGTTGTCAGACCATCGTGACCGCCGACTACCTCAACGAGGAGATCGCGCAAGTTACGAGTACAATGAGACTACTCGGCAGTGGGAAAACCAAGGCTATGAATCCATTGGAGGCGGAAGGATCTGATCCCGACCAAAGGCGCAAAGTTCATCAATTCCAGATGGGACATTGTGGACGACGTCGTGGTTCGCAACATCAACGCCCACCGAAGAAGGAACGCCGACTGGGCTCTGTCATGCATTCAGTCTGACTTACGCCACAGAATCGCAAGACGTCCAGGGTCAGAATGGCTGGATGGACGATGCCAAGTTGCATTCATGGGCGTACTTCGATGTGATGAAGGAGGGTGGGTGCTGATCGAGGACCTGGTCAGACAAGAAGAGCTTTGGACCCACAACAGCAGGCGCATAACCGAAGGAGCTCATGGACGCGACAATGATCATAGGAAGAGAGTGTACAATGAGAGACTGCAGCTACTGTTCCAGGGAAACATGCTGGCGGCCACGAAACGGCACAAAGCCAAGATCCGGCTCCAGTTCCTGGGTGTGAGAGTGAAAGACACTGGTGGTGGACCTCTTGGATCAGCAAATTCAGACAGGCTGGTTTCCGTGCAGGATCAGATCACCGAGATCCAGAACAACGACCACTGTCGACCCAATCAGCAGTACTTGTCACAGTGCAATGGCTGGGTCAAGCCGTGGGCAGTTCGGGCTACCAGTGGTCACTCTACGCATTCCGATCCCCAGGACAACTTGCTCCAGTTGGACAAGGACAGGTTCGCAATATCTCCGTCAATGACCCTTTTGGGATGCCTGGGAGGCGCTTTCCACGCGACGGCATGCCGCAATCTGGATTCCATTGTTCTGCAAGGCATCATGCCTGGTTCGGAGGACCCCGACGGGGACTTCGATCAACGCCGTCAGAACCGAGATGACAGAGGAGGCCGACTCCACAGCTACTAAAGGGTATTCGCACCGTTTGACACCAGGAATGCTACGACGAAAGCTCGGGCGCACGGACCGGAGGCCAAGTACATGCCACTTGTCGTTCTCCACGTTGCTTCAACAGACCTTGCCCGAGAAGGTGGACGTATCACTGACAGTGGTGTCATCATTGTCGGACGCACGATACCGTTCACGTTCGGAGGTATGGTTTTGCGTGCCGAATCCTCGAGACACACACTCTTTCGCACTGACTGAAAAGATCTACGATGAACGTTTGGAGAAAGAGATGGTGCTGGATTTCAATGGATCTCCATTGCTCCCGGAATTCGAGACGTACAGGACGCCGGCCAAGATCATGGAGCTACTCTGTGAAATGCCATCAGGTCCTCACGACACAAGTAACGAGCAGATGATTCGCGACCTTACTACCGTGCTCGAAGCCCACAGGGAGAACACCGTTCGGCATCACTATATGGACAAAGCCATTAAGTTCATCATCAAGAACTGGCGACCCGAAGATCTACGAAGAGAGGAAGATGGCAGGAGAATGAGGGTGTGCCCAGCATGCTACAACATTGTGCCAGCATGTTTCTCCCGCTGTACTTCGTGCTGGTCACAGTTCATCTCATGTGGTTATCACCAAGGCACCTCACAACGGGAGACTCCTACGGAGATCCCAAGTGAATTCATTGCTCAGACGATGGAGGCTGCAGCCGCAGCGGTACCTGAGACAACTGCTGAGGAACAGGAAGCCATGGAGGTCGAAACAGTGGCAGAACCCGCAGGCATTCCCGAAGCTTCCATCATCGGAGACGAAGATGCAGAGCAGGAGCCCGACGAGGAGATGGACACAGATCCAGCGGCGGACTTTGACGACGATGTACCTGAAGCTGTAGCACTTGAACGTCGTCCTGTCCTTATTGCCGGTCAGTCCTTGAATATCGATCCTGAACTGCAGATCGCCCGCACCGCTATGCAACCGCCTTACTACCACAACAAGCGAAATGCTCATTGCATCGATGCCAACATGGCTGCTCTCTCCTACATGGCGTTTGTGGTCTGCAGATGCATCTACAAGACGTGGTCCGGTTTGGCGAAGTGGTTGACTATGCCTTTATTCCAACTCAAAGAAAGTTTTGCCAATGGCCAACGCTATGATGTGCTTGGAAAATGGGGTGTATTGGCAGGATTGGACTCCGAAACTGGTGTGAGCAGGGAGGTGACTGATGAAGAGATCCTTTGCTTTGCCAAGGAAAGGGAAAATGCCAAAGCGTATGATCCCAACGGGACGTACACCCTCAAGCGCTTCCGAACGAACCAGCTGATCTCGACGTTGATCCGAGGAGCCAACATGATGGGAATTGGCAGGGAAAACTTCAACCCAAGCACCTACCTGAAGGACGAGACCGACGTGAAGGTCATGCACTTCTGTTGCTTGAACGTCTTATGTGAAGTTATTCCCATGGTGACAGGACACTCGCAATTTTCTGTTCTTCGGCCTACACCAACTGGACCAGTGGACTTTCTGTACATCGACCCAGTCGGGATCCTCTTGATGCACATGGACCATTCCGTGCAAACCATCGGGTTGCTTGTGGATCACAACGTACAGATGCCGTCCCATTTCTTGGATAAACTGCGTGCCAGTCGAGTCGAACGGCAATTGCATCCAAATGCACGTAGTCCTGAAGCACTACATCACATTTCAGCCGACGAGTATCTTCCGCGCGGGCAGACCTCCATCATGGACACACCTGTCACGGCAGAAGAAACTTCGAGTGCTTCCGCATCCACTGCTGCCCCGAAATCTCGCCAACGAGGAGGTGGGAGACACGGAGGTTGGAATTCCAGAAACAAGGGGAAAGCCAAGGGGAAGGGCAGATCTCCGAATCCAGAAGAAAATCTCAGGCCCTGGGAGCGTGATCCTCCTTCTGATCCCGCGGCTACCCGCCAGTGGTATCGGGACAACTCGTGATCGGCTATGCCTTTATGCACGTGACCTCTGCGCTTCGCTCATGAACTTCATTGCGAATGCCTCTTTCTTCGGTGACGCCTGATTTGTTCGTCATTTCAGGGGATCGTCACTGACGTAGCTGAGTGTCACACAGTTTCTAATTGGGATGCAAGGCTCTGATTTCATATTTCAAAGTTGCGGCGGACTAATCCCTAGTGTTCCTATCGCGCCATCTTCCGGGTGAGCAGCGTCGGAGACGCAACTGATGGGGGGTGCGAACGGACTGCGATGCCTAGTCAAGTTCTATGGTGTCACGATAAGAGCTGTGAGCATGGCCATGTATAGGTCAAGAGAGAAGGCACGCTACGCGTCCTTCGTCTCTAGGTTTAGGCTTGTGGAAGTGCTACGCACGCCGCAATGCCGAACCTTCTTGTATGCTTTCCGCCCACGCAACTTTGGCTCAAGTGTGAGCACATGCTCTAGGAAGCATTGCCCATAGCTAAATAGCTATCGTCTTCTGTGACCTTCCGAGGAACAGGGCCATCCCGAGCACAGACGATCCATCGCTGGTTGCGAGGGTGCAAAACAAGCGAGCTCTGGATCTGCCTGCACGGGGAGTGAGGCTTACGTGTGAGAGAGATAGAGTGGCTGAGTTTGTAGAGGGCAACCACGCCATTATTCAACATAGCTCTGTGGGGTGAGCGACAAGGGCATCATCAAGATCAAATCCCCACGCAGTCAGCTATGACATCTCACTAGAACCCTGCAAACAACGCCTAAAGGCGAGAGCCTGCATGGCTGCAAGGTTGCACAGGATCCTTTCATAGCTCCACGCAAAAATAATCAAACTAAGTAAAACAATCGAATATATTTTCAATTCTAATTATTTCATGTATTTCAGTCTACAAGCACGGAAAGGAGTCGTTAAATAGACCCTAAAGGTATCTCATACATATACATATATATATATATATATATATATATATATATATATATATATATATATTGTTATGTATATATATATATATAGTTATATATATATATATATATATATATGCATACATACTGTAAGGTCTATATGCATAAAACCTTCACGGAAGACCCTTCCCGATGCGACAAGCTCCGATCAGTCTCTCTGTCTCTCACCTTCTGCTTTCCAATCAGCCTGTCAAACAAAGAACCTGCCGCTCGGGGCCGCAGATGGGCACCTTCTTTCGCAAAAAAACGAGGTACCGTTGGACGCTTAGGGACTTGGATGATGTCCTTGGCCCGCTATGTTAAGGCCAGGGCTGCTGCCCGCAGCTCAGTGAAGCCGTCACAAGCCTCGGCCATCGCTGCCCAAGCAGTCGCAGCCGGACCTGAGATAGACGAGATCGGGAACGGCGAAACGAACCGAAGCAAGACGCCAAAGGCACGGGGATACGCGGAGTCCCGCAACGTCACCTCTGAACGACGAGCGAGTTCCAACTCCGCCGATCCGACGATCCAAAGGGCCCGTCGGGGCCCGGGCGGCCATGGTGTTCTTATCGGCGAACTTCCCAAGTTTGGGGCTCCAGCAAAGGAGCCCCGACAGCTGCAGCCGAAGGAGCTGCGCAGCGCCAAAGCCGCAGAAGCCCAAGGCAACGCCCCAGCAGAGCCACCGGAGCCTCAAAGAACACCCCCCCCCTTGACCCCGCTGTGACCTCTCGGGCCCTTTGGGCAATTGGCGTTGATGTAGAAAGCACACAAGAAATCCAGAGTCGTCCAGGAGCAAAGATGCTCACCTCGCAGCGTCGCAGCATGCTTGAGCTCTGGGGGTGAATTTCTGGCACTCAGCACTCCACCTTGATGGCCATGTTGGGAAGAAACACTTTAGAGGAGTTGGTGAGACCTGAGCACCGCATCTGAGCCGGAGAGCCCAGGCCGCCGGGGCGGGCTATGGCGGCTATGCTGTGCATTACCGTTACCGCCCTTTCGAGTTTTCCACCGCACATGTGCCTGGATGCAGGCGAGCCGAAGTCTGAAAACTTGAGAAGAATGTGCAGGAGATGAGTTTGAAGGGGTGCCCGGTGGGCTCACGGCAGGTCGATTTTTGGGCAAGGGCAAAGACAAAGCCAAGCCAAACCGAAGCCAAGCTCAAGTCAATTGCGGACCCACTTCCAAGATTGCATCGGAGATAGAGTGCTCCACCACAACCAGGACTCACCACGCATTATGCTTGCAGGACTCTAATGCAGAACGATGTGTAATCATGGAGTCTTAGACGAGAAAGGCTCCACACAACAAAGCACTGTGCAGAATTCTGATGTGATATAGGATGCAGGAACATTTTTGACATGAAACGGCGTGAAATTTCAAGGGCAAATGGACAGCAGCACGACTTATAGTTAGGATGATTTAGGATGGTCTAGACGAATCTGTCGACCGGTTTGAAGCGAAGACAGGAAGGCTATTCCTGACTCTCCAAGGCAGCCTTCGAAACTCTGGATCGGCATGCTGAGCGCGGGTTCGGTCAAACGAGGTGTACTAGTACCGGTCGCGAGAGAAAGGTCATACGGTCCACAAACGCCTCTGCAGAATCCTGGCTCCCGACCAAGCAGCCCCACGTCCAAGAGAATCAAAGCCTCGAGAGTTGCGCCGCAAGGACCGGGCAGTGGCTCAGTGGCTTTGGCCGGGACCAGCGGTAAGGCCTTGATCCGAAGCCCACGCCTCAGGCTCAGGCAGGCGCATTCACGGAATCTGCATGGCCGCGGCGCGTGCTGGGGGCCCCTTCGCGGCCCCTTCCGAGCCCCGCACAGGCCCAAGCCTCGCAGCTGGGACTTCCTCAGCAGTTGCTCCTCCCAGGTCGCCTGAGCTGGCCCGGATGTGAGCTCTAAGACAGCCGCTCTGCTCCCTTATGCTCTTTCACCTCCACGCAACCGAGTGCCAGCAGCAAGAAGGCCAGAGGCCTGTGATGCATCTCCACTCAGGGTCCTAAGGGGCCTAGGGCCTAGGGTCTTTTCTGAGGGATCGCACAAAGAGGCCAACCTTGCTTGCGAAATGCACACAGCGGCACAAGCTTGCGACCGAGTGTAAGGCACGGCAGGCTCGGAGTTAAGGTCTCTGCCAAACCATCGTCGCTTCTGCTGCCTCTTCTCAAGAGGTGGAGTGTGTTAGCAAGGCAGGGCGGCTCATGGCGGCCTTCTCATTCGGCAAAGTCCTGCAGTCACCTTCCAGAGGCGAGCCGGCGAGCCCTTGGAAACGCCTGACATCCCGGCCCGGCGGCCCACTGCCTTCTCCCGCATCTCCCAGCTCTTGCTCGCCCTCTTCCGGCGAGACGAGGACGCAGACTTCCAGGCCGGGCCAATCGATCTGCCACAGGCACGGACGACGGATGTGCTGCCGTGCTGCCGTGCTTCGCCACGCCTCCAGCAAGAAGACACGAAAGGGCTCTGTCAGCAAGGCGTAGTAGGAGTCGCCTAAAACGCCCCCCTCGCGGCCCCATGCGCTTTGCAAAGAAGTGCCTTACCGAAAAGTTGGGGACCAGCCGGCAACTTGATGAGAGATCGCCAGAAACTGCAGCTCCTGCCCGCAGCAACAGCCCGTCTCTGCGCGAGCACGATGCCTTGCAGTTCTCGCGATCCTTGAGCAACAACATGAAGGACCTCGTCAAGACCCCTGGCGACCTGTCCTCTCTTTCGGCTAAGGGCTGGACGTCAGCTCGTGCGATGCGAGCAAAGCCGCCACAGACCCACCAGCAGCAAGGACCTTCGACAGCGCTGCCACGCGGAGCGAAGGCGCGCACAGTCCGCTCGGTCCACCCCTGCAACTCCCGCGCTGTCGGCAGCACTGGCAGGCAGGAGCCCTGCAGACGATGCAAGCCGCAATGAGCAAAGCGACTGCGCGCAGAGCCTGAAAGCTGGAGCTCCGGAATGGGGAGGTGGATCCCGCTTAGTGGGAGCCCATCAGGCCAGCGAGGCAGAGGCCTCTGCGCGAAACGCGCAGAATGCGCTGCTCTTCGAGTCTGCAATTCCTGGGCTTCGCATTGGGGCTGCTGCAGCGACATGGGCACGGCTGGGGCCACCGAAGGACCTCTGCAAGGACATGCGCTGAAACGCCAAAGAATGCCAACGACTCCATGCTAGCGCTCCCAACGTAATGTGGAGATGGAAGCCCTTTCCGTAGTCGACCTGCTGGGGGCATTGAGGAGTGCTCAGCGCTCGCTGTCTCGCTGGGCCTCGGCTGCGGTGTGGGAGGCGCCGGGGGTGGCGGGACAAGTTGCGGCTGCGGCGTGGTGGAACGGAAGCGGTACTGCGGCCTCGGCGTGCTGTGAAACTGGGCGGGTGCTCCAGTCCGTTGCCGAGCGCCCAACAGGGGTGTTGGAGGTGATTTCGGCGGCGGTTCGAGGGTAGTGAAAAGCCGGCCGCGCCTCGAAGCGTCTTTCAGGGGTTTTTCGTCACTCTCGCTCTCTCTCTCTCTCTCTCTCTCTCTTTCCTGTGTTCGGCGCTCTTTCAACGGGGATCCTTGCGCAGACACGTAGTACATTGCCTCGGAGCTTGCTTGCATGTCTGTGCTACAAAACACGCGTCCCGCTCACCTTGTGCTTTCGGTCCGAAGCCAAAACAGCGATGTCGACCTGTACCGTGCTTTCAATAGAGTGCCTGCTTCCAACTTCGTCTCACTCCACCTCTGCCTTTCCTTCATCATTGAGCGGCTGCTGGAACACGTTGCCACTTCTGGCAATGGAAGAGCAAGCACCAAGGATGCAACAAGGCATCCTGATGTGTTCAGCTACGGCAAATGCGTCCCACACAGCATACTTGGCTGGGGGTTGTACTTCCATTCCTTGTCCTTGCCAAAACATGCTTGGCAATTCTGCGTTCTATTTCACGGAAAAAGTCCTTGATCGAGATTTGCAGTTTCTGGTCAAAGCCTGGCATCCACATCACTGTGGGGATAACCTGTCGAAGCTCGGTGTAAACACACTGGCACAAGCACGATCCAGCACAAGTTGGCATATGATGCCGACACGATGCCACTGTTCACGACCCTTGTCCTTCATCGGAATGCCATGTTTTGCATGAACATACGACCAGTCTTCCATCCAGACATGCTCCAGGCTCTCCAGTGTAATCCCTGATCGAATGCAGCTGCCAAATGGGCGGGGCCGGAGTTGGCGGGGTCAGGAACATTTTGGGTATGTAATGTGTGAACAACGATCTTGCTATTGTATTGCGGTTTCGTGGCTCGAGTCATTCACCCCGCCTTTTCCGGCAGCCAACACGGCATAATTATGGCATGTGCCGACGAAAATGCTTCAATGAACAGATCCCGGTCTCGCCCCGGCAGCAAAGAACTGAGCACATCCATAGAATAAACGTCTGTCCGTGCCAGCTGTGTTGCTCACTTCGCGGTTGTCGCTCGGCTGCTTGCTTTACTGCTATCGTATTCGGTGGTCGTGCAAGGATGGTGGTGGGTAGTTGGATATGTTGCCACTGACGTCTGCACCATGTATGACTGTTCTGTTTTTAGGCGATTGAGTCTTGAATTCAAATCCGAATCATGTCTCTCGTGTGAACTGCTCTGTGTATTGTTGTCGCCCACCCATAGCTCAAGGATCGGCTCGTCAGCATCCGCCCTGATCCGCAGCAGATGGAGCAAGCACCAAGTCACACTGTTCAAGCTGTCTGGGCTTCTGCCGCTCAACGATGCTGACCAAGGCCTGGAGCAGGTCGCTGGCTTTCGGCCAACCTTCCCCGGTGTGGGCAAGGTGGGCACGTCAAAATTGTGACTAATCGCTTCACTGATTCCGCTCATTTTGGTCAGATGCTTCGGATGCCTCAGCAGCTTTGTTCATAAAGGTCTGCGCCCTTCTAGGCGTCTAGGGCGACCTTGTCGCCCAGTCGAAGAAAGGGTAGCTGACGTGTCAGCTCTCCCACCGTCGTGGTGGAGGGGTGGTGGAGGCCTTCAAAAACTCGAGCCCCATATGATGGACGGCCGCACTTGTGCTACATTATTCCGCTATGTCAAGACTCTGCTAAGCAGATGCAATGACTAATCGCTTCACTGATTCCGCTCATTTTGGCCAGATGCTTCGGATGCCTCAGCAGCTTTGTTCAAAAAGGTCTGCGCCCTTCTAGGCGTCTAGGGCGACCTTGTCGCCCAGTCGAAGAAAGGGTAGCTGACGTGTCAGCTCTCCCACCGTCTCTCCCCTATCCGCAAAGCGCTCTGCAGAGAAGGGAATTGCTGGCACAAGAGCTCTGCAAACTGGCGAACGAGGGCGTACGGGTAGGGCTGGGCCAGCTGGGTCATGAAAAGCCCGTTGGAAGCCCGGCCTTGCAGAGCCACATGCCTTCGTCCTGTGGAGCTGCAGCAAGCGAAGCAGCCCGAGCACACCTTGGCGAGCGGAGTGAGATCAAGCCAACCGGACAACAGCCCTGTAGGTTTTTTCCATCGCTCGTTGTACTGGCAGAAGTCGAGTTGGATTAATGAAGCGCTGGGATGCTGCAGAATATGCTGTAAGATTGGTGTTTGCCAACATCTGGAGGTCCAAGGGTTTTCAAGGACATACGGGATGTGTAAAGCTTGACAATACCAAAGCACGCGGCAGCTGAACATCAAAAGCCGATTTCCTTCTCGTACTTTCTTGCGGTCATTGCCCTGCAGCCATGGGAGCCCCATGGGGTATGCATGACTGCGCAGTGGACCTGGGCCCATGCCGTCAGGTCGCCTGGCAGCACTGAAAGAAGAGCATGGCATGCCTATCCAAACAAACGCTACTCGACGTGATACAAGCAGGTCAAAGATCCGCTCGGCAGTAGCTGTTTGTAACACATCATCCTCAGCATTGAGGTTGATGTCCACAGGAAAAGCAGTTACATGGTGTTCTCGCAAAGCTGTTGTAAGGCGTCCACTGCCTGCGAAAATTTCTAAGCAAGATCCAGGCGGGGCAGCAGTCCATCGCTGCCACAAAGGCCTCACGGGCTGAGAGGCTGAGAGCGGCCCATCATCACATCCGCAATTTTGGCCTCGCACTTGCGGCAGTAGGTGAGGGCCCATGCCGGCATCTTGTTGAGTAGGGACTGAATTTTTCCCACCTTTCCGTACCGACGGACTGAACTGTCCGTTCTCCAGCGACCCCTCTCCTTGACAGCTTGGTACTCGCTTGCTTGCCAGATCGTCGGAGGCGCCGCCATGTCGAAGTTGATAGGCGTGCAAGCCTGGCAAGCCCAGCCAAGTGCCGGCCTTCTGAAAAGTGTCGCGGTAAGAGGCCGGGTCGAACTGGAAGAGGAGGTCGCTCTGTTTCTTGTTCTTGGTTAGCTTCATCAGACAAGGTCCCAGCCAATTGGCTGTTAGGGGATTGTCCAAGGGAACGGAGTTGTTGTAGACCCCGGTCTTGTCTGGGTACCCGCGAAGGTACAGCACGTCGAAGAAGTCGGCGAGGGTCACATCCATTTTGGATTTGGGTGGCCATCGCAACTTGTTCTCCTTGCAAAAGGCCTTGAAGTTCGTCAGGTAGTAGTCGTACTGACCCTCCTGCTCTCCACTGATGCTCTTGCGCTCCAGGATTGTGAGCCCTCCTTTCCTGGCTCTTGTGCGCGCTGGGCTGCTGTCGAAGGAAACCTCCGCCACCACGCTGCGTCGGCTCTTCACTTTCCTCGCCTTTGGTGTCCCTGGCACGATGAGCTGAACTGTTTGTCCCTTCCGATTTGGCTTCTCTGATTCGTGGGGAAACGTCAAGGTGCGGCACGTCGTTCCTTTGGGAGTAACCGGCCAGGCCGCTTTTCTCTTCTTCGAAGTATCCTGGAGTGTCCGCTCCTCGCGAGGGCGCATCGGAAACATTGAGTTCCGAAGCAATCCAACGGGCCCGTAGCTGTATATTGGCGGCCAGAAGGAGGGCCCCCACTTTCTGCGTCACTCGCAACATGGCATGATTGCAGGCTCGCCCCTTTCCTAGGGCAAAGGCCAGAGCCAGACTGTCCACAAGTATCAAATGACGCTTGTTGCGGTGTCTCTCTGCACGGGCGAGTCGTCGCACTGCCAGTACTACGGTCCTACCCTCCTTCAAAGTAATGTGCTCATGTTTGTGCTTCCACTTACCTTTCAACGCCACTGAATAGAGGTGGGGGTCGAGAATGGATTCTGGAACCTCCTCGAAATGCGTGTGAACCGATCCCCTTCCTCGTAAGGCGAATGCTCACGAGCAGCTGTAGTCAGGTCAGTGAGGGGGTCGAGACCGAGGGCCCGGCGACGCGGTGCCCATTCCTCAATAGGCAAGCGCTTGTAGCGCCAGCGTTCCTGCCATTGGCCCACTTTCGAAATAACGCTGGATTCGAACTCGCCCTCACATATCCCGAAACCTTCAGGTGAAGCATCCGTTACCGTAATGGTGTTGCTCCATGGTTTCCGCACGTCACTCACCAGCAAAGGGATCAAGCCAATGAATATGCGAAATTCTCGCCGAGCGAAGGCCCACAACTGTCTACGATGATAACCCCGACCTGCGAAGTCGTAAGCGCTGCGGAAGATTCCCATACCTGAGCGATTTAACACCAATACCACGATGCAGTGTCCGAGGAGTCGCTGCACTGTATCAGAAGACACTGTGTTCCGCATTACATACTCGCATGCTTTCTTCAACCTCCACGCTCTCTCATGTGAAGGTCGCACAGTGCCCCCAACACCATCCACCACTCCGCCCAATGTTGGGAAGAACGTTGTGGCATCGGTATCTTCATGCATAGAGAAACCCCAACTTTCCAGAGTGCCTTGTAGTCTATCTTTCCCTTCTTGCACCAGTTTAGGCTCCAGGCCCAAAACATGAGTGTTATCGCAGTAGGGCATGGTGATCACTTTCCCGGCCTCCAGAGTTGGTGCCGGCCTCGCATCCAAGACCAAGGTTTCGGAAGCGGGCCCTATGGTATCCAAGCAGGCTTGTACATGCAGGGCTTGGACCAAGTAAAAACTCCATGTGAACCCCATAGGCAGGACATCAAGGCCTGGACAAATCCGAAAATCTTCAGGTAGTCCGGCGATGTCCTCGGGCACACATTCGGGGAAATACTCGAGGGCATCCTTCAGGCATATATCCTCTTGGAAGCAAAAATATTCTCTGAGAGACTCTGGTAGTCGGCAGGCATAGAAGCAATCGCGGATATCCCCCCCCGAGACGCAGAGGTTCTCCCCGCTAGGGATTTGAAGATCACCAAGAGCAGGAAGAGAACCCAACTCTGTAACAGGAGGAGCTCTGAACATCAAATTTGTCCGTCTGCAATCTAGGATAAGCCGCTGCCTCTCCACAATCTTTCCTTGTACTTCCTTAGGCTTCTTACTCACAGCAAAAGCCCCAACTCGACCCCGGGCCTGCTCAGAAAAGGTGAGCACCCCAGCTCTAGCAAGCTTCTGAAGAAAAGAGAGATAGAACTCCTTCGACTTGAGATTTGGATCGTTGTATGTGCGAATCTTGTGAACCTCATCAGACATAACACCCCAGTTGCCGGCGTCCTGAAGCATGTACTTCTCGGGCTCCCGCAAGAAGAGCCCGGCTTGTCCTTTCAAGAGGCTGGCAATGCTGACGCCCGACACGCTGCTTTCGGGGAGGGACAAACACTCAAGCTTCATAGGGACAACGTCGCCAACTCCTACCGCGTCCAAACCATAAGGACTGCAGGAGACGCGGAGCACCTCTAGGGCTCCTGCGTATGTTGCACTTGCGGGCGGCGGTCCACCAGCTTTGACGCTTCTGATGATGTGGGTCACCGCTCTCTGCCCCTGCGGCAATTGCTCCAAGGTCGCTACAGAACCTAGAGGCATGGGATCAAAGCCGCCAGAAAAGAGCAAATTCAAAGAGATAATGGCCTCGTTCACTGAAGACTGTACGTGCTTGCGCTTCTGAATTCTTCTCAAGGTGGCACGGGATAGCCTCTTCTCCGGATGTAATACACTCACTTCCAGCAGAGGC